TTTTAATTTTTTTTTAATAATATTCATGTAACATTCTAGGAACATTTTGCGCTTATAGGGCACGTTGGCGGGTCATTCGTGTTTTGGGCTGGAGCCGCCTGTATTACCGATAAAACTAGCGTTTTTTATGTTTTTGTTCCTGTCGAATTTCTTCGTAATGGTTTCACAGAATAAAAAATTTTTTTTCACGATTAAAATGTACACGCTAATGTATTTGTCGCTGATGTATTTTGTGTTCAAAGCTAGAGAAGAAATAAAAAAATACAAATTTCTTTATTCATTTTACCTTCAGCGTGGTCGCCATACTGAGATAAAGATGGATAAAGAAATCTGTAATTTTTTATTTTTTCGAGCTTTGAACACAAAATACACCAGCGACAAATACATTAGCATGTATATTTTAATCGTGGAAAAGGAATTTTTATTCTGTGAAACCATTAACGAAGAAATTCAACAGGAACAAAAATATTAAAAATGCTAGTTTTATCGGTAATACAGGCGGCTCCAACATCCCCTTAATTTTCGTCACTTTTACAAGCATATAAAAATTATTAAACGATTTTTACGTATATTTTAACATCTTTAGAAAGTATTTGTAAAGTTGTATATTTATAACAAATTGTATATGATCCTGATGGAAGTAAATCGCTGAAATTGCTGAAATAAATCTATCAAATCAATAAAGATTTCAACGATTTCCGCGATTTTTCTTTCATCAGAGGACAGTAGCGTTCGGGGGCATTTTGCGGTTACAGGAAAAAGGCCCTTATATCCTCTCTCGCAACAGATTTCTCTCTGGTTCCTCTGGTTCAAGTCGTTCGACGCGAGCGGCGCGGCGCCGTGATCAGTTTGCCTCATTGGCTCATTCCTCAGTCCACCTCAGTCCGTTATGGTTCGTTTTGTTGTCGTATGAGTAAACGTTTAACCATTGAGTTGTTTTTAAAACAGACTTTTAGTGAAACTTCCTTAGTTCCACAAATCACTCGCCCTGATCTGTGAATCGAGGTGCAAGTATGCTGTGGAATTTGCGAATCCACCCCGCAGAGATTTGTGACGAGTAAAAACTGGCGGAGCACCACCGTGCGATTACGTTTCAAATTGAGGTTAGGATCCGATAACCCACTTTCCGCACACAATTACCTTTAGCACACCGCCCCGAAATCGTAACCGCGTTTTGTCGTATATAACAGCAGATTAACCCGGTCCGTTCGCATTTTCTTGAATCTAGTATTTCCTTGAGCGATGACCCGTTTTCACTCCAACAACCTTCTTGCTCCATTAACCTTCGGTTATTAATATCTATGTTTAATTAATGCAACCATTATATCCGTCATTACAGGTAATATCTCTCTGTTAAATGGTGATTGTCGATGCCATGGAAAGAAGGATAAAACTGAAAACTCTAAACAGTCACATAACATGCAAAATATGTCGCGGATATTTAATTGACGCCACTACTGTTACCGAATGTTTACATACATTCTGCAAGAGTTGTTTGGTAAAGCATCTAGAGGAGAAACATACCTGTCCGACATGTCAAATTGTCATACATCAGTCTCATCCACTCCAGTACATCAGCTTCGACAGAACTATGCAGGATATTGTCTACAAATTAGTTCCTAATCTCCAAGAAAGTAAGAACTTTATTTCAATGGATAATATAAATTCAATGCTTGTTTTTATAAAGCAATTATCCAGAGTTGAAAGGTCTTTTTGCTCATTTTGGCTCTTTTACTTTTATTTCATTTTCTGATCCCTTAATATAAATTTTTCTTTTCAACTATTAACAGAAATGTTTTTTTATTTTAGATGAAATCAAAAGAGAAAGAGAATTTTACAGAGCCAGAGGTTTGCCTTGTCCTAAAGATATTTTACCCAATGCTGGAGAAGTTGAAGATGAAAAAGCCAATGCGGATGCACATGCAGAATCAGATTATCATCGTACTGATGAACAGGTAAGACTGATGCAGCGTTAAGAATACAGGTTTATAAGAGTAGAATACTTTAATCAGTTAAAATTAACGTATCAAATTTGCAGGTTAACGTATGTTTGGAGTGTACAAACTCAAGTTTGAAGACTCTGAAAAGACGATTTATCAGGTGTTCAGCTCAGGCTACGATAACGCATATGAAAAAGTTTATTGCTAAAAAGGCTTTGAACGGCATGGAAAAATATAGAGATGTAAGTGTATCTGACAATGATATTACAGATGATGTTACAATTGTCACTTATTAATTTGTCTGTATTTCTCGACAGATCGATATTTTGTGCAATAACGAATTATTAGGTAAAGACCACACATTGAAGTTCGTTTATGTAACAAGATGGAGGTTCCGGGACCCACCCTTGAGGTTACAATATAGATCGCACATAGATATGCAAGATTAACCTTTCTACATTCGGGATGTACAAAAATCACAAAGGATCTGTTCCTTTATTTGTACATTTTTCTAGTTACATTCTCATTTTAACTGTTGTAGTACTTATTTTTACGTTTATTCGCAAAACATTTGTGTGAAATTTTAGGAAATGATGACGATTCTACGAAACAAGGTGATATACCGACTTCGAAACGTGTTATTCGATATTTAATAATAGCAGAATCTCATTATCGCATATTAATAACGAGATCCTACTGTTGAATCAAAGAGCATTCTTGTCATGTATCATGTTGTCATGTTGAATTATAAGATATCTCTTTATAGTTGAATTATAAGATGTCTCTTTATAGTTAAAATCTATTTACAATTCAAGATTTTTCTCATTAGCGCACTACGTCTGATAGTGTTTAAATGTGGTTCGTACGGGAAATCATTGAGACGTCTTAAAGGAAGAGAGAATCTGTATTTCCAATTCGCAGTGTGTAATATACACGGGCTTTTTATAGATATTCAACTGCCACTGCATTATGTACAGATTCGATGCCTGCGCATTAAGTTTCAGCGGACCATCTTTCCTCCTAATACGCGGAATCTTAGTGGACGAGTGAGACTTTCTATATTTTATGACACGAGACAAAGCCACGGGGATCTTCATTTTATGAAATCATATATTCTTTTTATAAGCACATACCCCATCTTTGTACATAGAATATTTTTGACAGAACGCAAACAGCATTGCATGTAGAGATACGCAAGCTTTGTATTAGGTAAACAAAAGAAATCGGGTCTGAATAGTCAGGTCTTTTTAACTTTGTATATTTATGCGCTGCGGTCGTACATATTCTAATTGCGTCTCAAATTTCTCTCGACATCGGCTCGCGATTGGAAAAGAAGAAGCTAGAAAGAAAGAGAGAGAGAGAGAGAAAATTAATCGATAGCGAAATATTTTTAGGTGATTCGCCATGTCGAATAGCGCGCCATGTCGAGCAAAATGCGTGGCGCTCGTCGCTTGTAGTAAATAGAGTTCCTCAAGTAAAAGTTAATACTGAATGATGACTTTTGATTGTTCTGTAATAAGAAGAAAGCGATATAAATAAAACAGAATAGTACGTATACGATGGACACGTTGCTGACTGATCTGCTAGAAGGTCAAGTACGCTGTTTTTCTTACATGATTTTGCTCACTCATTATAAGAACAAATTAGGACGCATCCTATGTCATCATGTTATCGAAGTATTCTTTTTGATCACGTGTCATTTGCTTAAATAGGAAGAAATGAGAAATATGACGTCCACTTATTAAAAAAAGAATAAAAAGAAAAATTTTTATTGTATCTTTTTAATGATATAAGACAACAGCAACGACTTGATATTTATTTATTCGAGCTCTTCTGTCAAGCAGAGTTAAGACCATGGCACATAGAAAAACTTAGGACGTAAAATTTAAGCGCTAAGGAAATCAATATGTTGGATTCGCTACTTGCTTACGTCATGGTCTTATGATCTTTACCATGATCGGTCAATTCATTTACTACTTAAATCTTTTGCCAGCCGAAAAAGTTTTTCTATGGCCTTTAGATCCAGCTATTCATCTAGCATGAAAACTCGCACTGTCTAAAGTCAAACCAGTAGCACAGCCAGCAGCATGGCCAACACGGCAACAAATTTAATTAACAATCCAGAGGAAAACCATTGTGTATTGTAGGGACTTGACACAAGAATAAAGTACTTATTTTGTATTAGTTGCTTTCTCACTCTATTTTAAGCAGTCGATCTATCTGATTTTGTCTTGTATAAATAAAATAGAATGAGACAGATAGATCTACATTCCGTGTTAATGGCAGCCGATGTCTTAAGCCTGTTCTATATAATAGGGTCGCAAGTCATAAACTGTAATTGGTCAATCACAGTTGAATATGAAAAAAATAATCGACTGTGATTTAATAATTTCTTATAGCTTACGGCTTGCGGTCCTATTGTAGAACAGGCTTTAATTTGATTCGTTTACTTGAGGAACTTAAGTAGCAAACGATCCTGTTTCATCCGACGATCGCTAAACGAAAGATGTGATTGTACATACTTAATCGTTAGAAAATCGAATGCGACTTTTCACCAAGTAGCGGTACTGCAAGAACGCTTGTACGTTGTACGCTGTGTATGCGCATCTCCATAAATTATTAAATAAATATGTTTTGTACAGAAACGTTGTCAATACGTCCGTTGTAATCTTTAAGACAATATTATAAGAGATACAGAAAGGATGAACAAATTAATACGTGAATACCTGGAAAATACTTACTTGTTTTATTAATGAGAAACTGTTCCCATATTCGCTTTTAATATAGATTCTTGTTGGAATAGAATCGTAAAATACTTGAATAATCATCAATGAAATGTATCATTTGTTTAACAGAACTATCTTCCAATACAAGATGCTGGGGAAGGAAATTTACTTCTTACTCCGTTTTTTTAAAAATTGTCCTCTATTCTCTAAAACTTCAACATCTTTCCTAGCTAACGCAATCGTCTGATTTAAACATTCTAAGGGTTCTATTCTACCTGTTAGATAAGTAACAAGATTATTCAATCACGTGCGCGGATTGCCAAATTTACCTAACAGATAAACTTTAAAAGATGGAACAATCGACCCTAAGTAATTTTGAAGAGCAGAATAAGAAACAAATCTCCTCCTCCAATATCTCTTAACTTTACATACTATATTTATGCACTATATATATTTTAATAATAATTAGCCTAATAAGCCTATTTGAGCCAATCACAAGATATTTATTGTGTGAATTAAAAATTAAAGAATTAAAACATTACATGTATATTAATCGTAATTCATCGTACTACGATGCTACGAATTACTATTAATATACATGTAATGTTTTAATTCTTTAATTTTTAATTCACACAATAAATATCTTGTGATTGGCTCAAATAGGCTTATTAGGCTAATTATTATTAAGTTATATTCTTCTGAGCCTTGAACATTTCTTACATATATTTTAATTATTAATAAACCAAGTAATATATATTTCTCAGGTGTTCAAATTATGTCTAGCCTCCGTATCTTATAACAATGACTGCGTTTAGCAGAAAAGGAAGTTTTGCAACTGTTGTAAGATTCTTTAATATGATTGATTTATACATTTAGATCCAGTGAGGAACTAAGGACAGGACCGATCATATTAAATAATTGTACAACAGTTGCAAAGCTCGTCTTTCTACTGAACACATGCCTTAAGTTGTAATCACACTACAGGCTCCCGACTCTGACTCGACTGCCGACCCATAATGGACCAATAACAATAAATCAGTCTCATTATTATTGCTCCATTATAGGCCGGCAGTCAGAGTTGGCAGTCGAGGCAGAGTCGGGAGCCCGTAGTGTGATTACGGCTTTAGGTACGCGGCTTTCGCGCTCCTTTTCAACGACGAGCGCGCGCATGCGTCCTGTTTGGCAGATTCGTTCTGTGGAAAGAGCGGGGCGATCGAGTAACGGCTGGCAACCGGCCGGATGCCTGCGGGTCTGCTTTGCTGCAGTTCGCAATCCGCTTCAGTTGAATGAAAGGCATCGGGAACGCCTGGCGTATACTCTCCACACGCACACTGTTTACGCGCAAAGACCCTTCTACTGCGTTCTACCTACCTTGCTAGGCTTCGGTACACAGCTTGCGTCGCGTATCGTGGAGAATGAGAGAGTGAGTAGAATTGATTTCCTCGTGCTCCGATTGTACGTATATTTTCGGTGCGTGCGATTTTCTGCCGCGCAACATCGGTGGCGTAAAACCAAAACGTTCAGCGTGTGTGCCGATCCGCCACGCGAATGGATCTACGTCTCTCCTGAGTGCCATCGTAATTGACCTGAGAAGTGGGCAGAACCCGTTGGAGATCCCTGCAAGATCCACGCAGCGAACACGTACGGCCAGGCATTCGATCACGTTCGATATCGTTTATCGTGAGATACGGGTCTTTTCTAATAAGAGACACTATCGCGTCTCCTGAAAAAAATATACCCAGCGATATCATAGCACGAGACAATATCTTAAAGCGAGCCGAGTTTTTAAACGTAAAGCTGGTATTCATAGTCCGTTCTTATTTCAAGACCGTCTTAAGGGGATGTTGGAATAACCAAATTATCACATTACCGTGTAAAAATCTTCGAATTGACTGTACGGAATAAAAAATCCTTTTATAGGATTAAAGTAGACGCAAAATTAGGAGGTGATAACCTCCTGCTGTAAGTCCGGATCTACAATAGATGTTTTAAGACTTAAGCCGTAAGAAACTGACCAATTACAGTCGAATCCGAAGGGAATACTCGATTGTGATTCGTCCATTTCTTATGACTTAAGGCTTAAAACCCTTGTAGATCCGGGGTAATGTGATAATTTGGTCACTCCAGCATCCCCTTAAGTAATATCTTAAAATGTAAATACAGCACTCTAATAGATTTTCTACAATAAATCATTACCTAAGCTTTAAGTCTTTAGCTATAAGAAATTGACCAATCGATTATTTTTCTCGTACACTCGACTGATTGATTGATGTCTTATGATTTAAGACTTAAAACTTAGATAATAGCTTATTGTAGAAAGCCCATGATTCGTTCGTGAATCTCAAGACTTTACTTAAGACAGTCTTAAATGTAATAATCGATTATGAACGCCTTATTTGCCCCGCAAATGTCTAAAACATTTATCGAACACTATAATGTACGCGAGAAAATAGATTTGTCATTTTCATCTGAACTTTTGCACGGTTCATCTTTTCTGTTTTTCTCCCGGTGAAAATAAAAATCGGAGCGTAAGTCGAATGTAATGGGAGAGTAACAGAAACGTAAACAAGATTCCTAAGAGGCGAAAATTGAAACATCAAAATTGTAAAAGAAGCGTAAATGCTTCTTTTACGTTTCATTGTTTCAATTTTCGCCTTCTAGAAGTTCTTATTTTCATCAGGGTCTTTGTTGAAAAAAAAGAGACAATCCAAACAACACAAAGTCTAAAATTGTGACATAAGACGTCTTTTAAGTCGTCTTTTTGATGCATAAAAACGTCTTATGACTCGATTTTAGACATTTTTTGTTATCTGGGAAGACGTACGGTGCAAGATGTTCAGTTGAAAAGGTTGACGAAATAAAAGCTTAATGAGATAAAAACATGGGCATATTACCCCGGATCTACAATAGAGTTTTAAGCCTTAAGCCATAAGAAATGGACGAATCGGTCGATTATTCCCCTCGAATTCAACTATAATTGGTTAATTTCTCACGGCTTAAGTCTTAAAACATCTATTGTAGATCCGGACTTACGCAAGAGATCGCTCGCTCTGTCGGTGATCGTAGGTTCGTTGTTACAGCGCGTAGATAAGAGACGGATGCCATGATTCTCCGCGTCCGATCGGATTATACATACGTATATACCCGAGATCCGAGCGAGATCGCAGATGATGACGAGGAAGCGCTACTTCAAGTTCCGCGACAGTTCGATTGCTCCGTTTACCGGAGCATGTAATAGAGCTTCATCCAGCTGACGCGGCCCAGTTTTTACCCGCTCGACCGCGTTAGAACGTGACGAGGAAAGCGTAACGGTCGCGTACACGTCGCTCAAAATTGGTGCGTCAGCATTTGGGAGAAAATTTTAATTTAGTTAACCACGTTGTTGTTGTAAACAGCCTGGAGCGCGATTACATTGCAGCTAAACATTCACTAATTGTAGTTTTCACCGGCGAGGAGATTGACAAACGAGCCGCGTGACATACGGACGTCATCTGGAATCTGAAAGACGTGAGAAAATGCCTTAAACACGTATATTTCACTTTCCCAAGTCTCTTTGGCACAAAAGATTATGGGAATATATTTTTTAGAATATTAACTATCTTATATATATTTGCCAGAATTTTGGTAGAAATCTGAAAAGCAAAAAAACTGTTACGGTCTCAGGTAAGGCAATACCTGACTTGTTCCTTGATGGACTAAGATTTATTTTTTATTGCTGCACTGGACTGATAAGAGAACCTCTCGAGGTGTCAAATTCTGATATTTTCTAAATTCATCTCTTTATGTAAACTACAAGTTCACAAAGTTTCATTAAAATCAGAATTTGACACTTCGAGAGGTTCCCTTGTGAGTGAGAGAAAAATGTTTGGTATTTCTGACCATAGTTGCATAATAAAATAATTATTGTTAGGTGCTCCATTTTTATAGTTATTATTGCTATAATGTTAGTAATAATGATTATATATATAGCTGTATCATCAAAGGTTGATAGAAATATACACACAGTTATTATTACTAATATTTATGTATGTATAAAGCAGTAATAATCATAGTTATAGTAACATATAATTATAATTATAAATATCAAACATTTTTCTGTCACAGTGTACCAGAACTTCCCTTCTCGCTTTCGCTAAATTTCAAACATATCTATTTCAGCATTTCATATTTAAATACAAAGAGAATACACCAGCTACGAAGAACGAGTCTTATGTCACGTATAGTCACAAAATGACTCTCTAAAGCGATCGTCACTGTCAAAATGGCCTGATATAGCATACTAAAGAAGAAAAGATATCTTCGTAGACGAACATTCGTAGTTCACATTCCTCATGTTTTTTCTACGTGCATCGGTCGTCGTTAGTGCGTCTTCGTGTTTCTGGAATTCGAACCTTTTTCCAGTCATCAGATACCACTGGGTGAAACTGCCATTCGTCGAGGGACGCTCATGAATGAGCGGCTTTGCACGCGGTGCACGACTGTGCCTGCCACGAGCGGAGTCCTTGGCTCCGGTATGCGTGATTATTCCGTGACGAGAAGCTCACTTGCGCCGAGCCGGAGTAAAAATTCGATCGAACGCTCCGACCGGTTTCTTCCTCTCGCTTACTTCTCGAGAGTCCGTTACCTCGGCTATCCATAGGTCTGTTCGACTCTTGAGCGTCATTACAAATCTTGCCGACCTTCCATACCGTACGGACAACAATATTGCGAAACAAAACAGATTGTTTGGCACGAGACGACTCTCTCGTCGCGCGAGCTATTTCTGATCTCGCACCAGAAATCACTTCTATTTTTAGTTGTCGCAATTCTACACAGTAGCTAAAGCTGAAAAATCCTTCCTCAAACGTTCACGAGAGACCGTCGCGAATTCATTTTTTCGATTTTTTGCCAGATAGAATCAATTTTGTTGTCATTTTTCCATTGTGTGCCATTTTTTTTCTCCGTTGAATTTAATGGTGAACTTAATCACACTTGCACATTGGATTAGTTGACATTAA